CCTGGCAGTTCTGGGAATGACGCACAATCCAGAGCACTCCATTCTTCTCCTGTCATTTTTAAGGATGATCCATAATGTGTGAACAGCACCCACAAGCGAGGCCTAATTGCATTTTTCCAGCACTTCCAAGGAAGCTCAAACGAGCACTTAAAGGATAATGCTCAGAGCAGCCCGGGGTGGGGTGTGGGGGCTCMGTGCTCCTCACAGCCAACTCCCCCAGCGCTTTTATCCCGCACTTACTGGGCCATTTCTCTGCCTTGGATTCCTTGTGCTGTCAGGCGGGAGGGCAGAGATGTGTAACATGACCCAAAGTGGTCTTGTTTGTTTTAATCTGCTGGTTTAATATCTCATGGCTTCCTGCCATTATCCCTTTCTGAGCCGAAGCCTGGCGTCACTGCTGGCAATTCGCTGTGTGTGGAGGCATTGGTGACGATCCCACCGTGGTGTCCATCCTAAGGTTTTTTCCTCCTGGTTGTTTTCCTCCAAACGAGAACCACTTCTCTCACCCCAGTGATTTTSCCCAGAGAATTCCCGCAGGGTTTCAAGCGCTGCCGAGTGTTTGGATCAGAAGAGCTGCCAGCACTTCATCTGCAGTCAGGAGGGAGCAGTGCTGTGATCACCGCGGGTCCCACATGGCAGATCATTACTGTCAAGTTCATCCTGACGGATGCACTGCTGTTCCCGGCACTGCTTGAGSAGGAGGAGGAGGAGGAKGAGGAYGGGAGAGTGGCATCTGCTCCTTCGGGCTGCTCTCAGGGTGAGCACAGGCTGTCCCTGCATCCCTGCCCTGGAAAGGCTCTTTTGGTGCTTTGCTTTTTACTATTGCTGACAAAACCGAGGGGGTTTGATAGCATTTTAACTGGCAATAATTGTGGGGAATTCACAGCAATGAGCTCCGTGGGTACGGAGTTAACCCCAAACCTGATGCTGGTACAACATCCCAGCCTGGATACAATCCTGCCACACACCCAGCTCATCCTTCAGCTTTTCGGCAGCTTAATTAAATGGTCCCATTTCCTTCTTCCAGCTGTGCCCACTGCTAAGTGCCTGCAAAATGCATTCCCGGGGGAACAATCCTGCAGTGAAATGGTGAAATGGAAATGACCTGCCACGGGCTGCATTAGTCTCGGTGTCATCGTTTTTGCCTCTTTGTTGTTCAAGTGTTTTTCCCCTTCCTGGGGCCAGCAGGCACGCTGGTGGCACTGGAGGATGCTCACCCCTCCTTGCTTGGGAAAACACTCGTTCCCATGGCTCAGCTCCATGCCTGGGGTGCTCAGGGGACACGGAGAGCTCTGCCCTGTTCCTCCTGCACACCCCAGCCATGGGAGAAGGAAAGGAGGCTGCAGGAGCCACGTTCTGGGCTCTGTGACACAAAGTGCTGAGGAGGCAGCTCTGCCTTTATCTGTGCCCGTGGCTGCTCAGCAAAGTGAAATGAAGCAGCGTMAATTTAATTAATGGCAGAATCCGGCTCAGTGTCGAGAGAGGGACACCAAGAGAATGAGCATGAAAACCAAATTTTCAGTGAGTTTATTAACCCCAAGGTTAGATCCCAGAWAATAAACACTGCAGTGCCTTGTTACTGTTACATGGTGGGGGCTCTGGGGTGCCTCTGCCCTCCCCAAGTGGGCCACTGGAGAGATTGAAGGCAGGAAAGGSCTGCTTTGGTTTGGTTTTTTTAAGAGAAAAACACAGGAAAGTGCTTTTTCTTGTGCACTTTGTTTTGCTTTTTTTTKWKGAGAYAAAACAAACCAGACTTGCTCTCAGCTGGCATGAATGAAGGCAAACCTACAWCCTCATTACCATAAAATTGCAGCTCCAGGAACCTCCTGCCTCCTCCCACAGCGCTGCTTCAGGRAATGAAAGTGCAATAACTTACATAATTTTGTGGTAACTACATTGCATCATGTAATTCCATGACTTACATAAATGATTTAACCTTTAACATCACATGCTCATGGGAGAAAGTACCAGATCTTTTTATTCACACTTGGCCAGGCCCTCCATCCCAGGCAGCACTTTTGGGCTGTGTTCCTRCACTGGGTGCTGCATTAATCTGGCTGTGCTCAGCTCCACTCTGCCCCTTGGTGTGGGTGTGTCATGCAAAAAAAAAACCCTGGGAAAAAAAACAGGAACTTTGGATCGCACAAGAAAGCAAAAGCGTTGTTTTCCTCCTTTATTGAACTTTGGCAAATAATATGTGTGTGTGGGTTTTACATCAATAGCTATAAATAAAACTTTGAAAGCAATGTAATACYTGTCATTGAGATAAAGGACATCTATTGGCACAAATCAGTGAGTAAAAACCCTTTAATGATAAAATAACATTCACTCTTTAGCTACTTCATTTGTCTGAAAAACTCAGCTTACACTCAGTTCAACATATCACCTTCCACAAAGTTAAAAAATGACATAAAATGACATAATAAAATAGACCTTAAATTTCATCATACAAGTACCTTGGCAAATTCCAGCCAGCTGGAGCAGCTGTGCCCTTGCCATGGCCTCACATACCCCTTGTTGCCTCTGGASTGAGGAATGCAGGTTACTCAGCGCCTGTTTTCCAACAACTGCGTGTCGGTGAGGAGTGGTGGCATCTGCCAGCAGGGCTCTGCCCAAACATCCCGGCTCTGCTTATTGCGGAAGAACGTGGAAAGCTTTCTGGAAGATTAACCACTGTTACAATCATCAACTGTCTTACAAAAACCCCTATTTAAAGTTCTTGTATCCTTTACTGTCTTTGGCAGAGAAATCAACAACAACAAAAAAAAAAATTACCCGACTATATTACACAGCTTTCATTATAATCACAACCTACCGAGTAAGGCCAAATAAAAATGTCTCCTTGCACTAATGAAAGCACATCTCTAAAATACCCTTAATGACAGACGATATCAACACTCTACTGACAGGACCAGATGCCTCCTCAGGAGACTGCGAGTGCCCCCTGCCCAAGSCACCTCTTCCACGCAGAGTAAAGGGTACGGAGCAGTTGGTTTGGCTTTATGTCCACCACAACCCTGGGATCAGGGGGACAGCAGGGCTCCACCCGCAGAGAAAACACAACCCATGCTCAATTGAGGGAGGTCAATGTGGAAAGCAAAGAGGGGATAAAGCACCCCCAGGATGGGCTGGGCAGGATCGCGGTGTGCCAGGGGCTGCCATAAAGCCAAAGGAACTCCTGGGAAAAAACGCGCAGTTGGCTCCGTAGTGAGCGGGACTGAACGAATGGAATCGCTGCGAAGAAGCTGCCAATCGGGCAAACTTCATCTCAGATGGCAATTAAACTGCGATTGAATTTGGGTCTGTTCAACAGAGCTGAACCCATCTGGACCCTGCCCTGAGCTGCACGGGATGAAACTGGGCGTGATTTCACMGCGGAAATGCAAACACAACTGCGCCACGACTGCGAACAGCTAACAGGCTCCATGCATAAATAAATACCATCGACCCAAAGACCTCATCCCAAACCCAAAGGAAGAAGTTGCCATTAAGAACCACGATGCATCACACTGCTAAGGGTTTGCCTCATGCATAAACATGGCAGCGCTGATTGGCAGTT